CCCATTCAGAATAGGGGACTAACTAGTTCGAGGGTCAAATATGGCCGACCCACTTGAATACTTCACCATGGGATATCTATTCAGTGTCTATTAGCAGATTAGATGGCAAACTTTGTAGTAGGTCGCCATATTTGACCCTTGGACTAGTTAGTCCCCTATTCTGAATAGGGCCTAAAAAGTGTTTGGTCACTAGTTTTCTTTGTTAATGTTTTAGTTGAAGCTAACAAAGGAATATTTGGAGCTGATGAAATACAAAGCTCTGACCACCAATACCAAGGTGTTCTTTGGTACCGATATCCCCAGTATGTTCCTGGAACCCACTGGTACTGGGGCCACAGTGGCTGCTGCCTCTGCTCAGGGGGAGAAGAAGGGTAATTAATATGTTAATTATACCAGCTTACGTTGGCATCAGTTGAAAAGCAAATAGTAAACAGACAAAATTAGTAGACATTATTAAAGTGGTAGATGACTTTCATCCAAAATGTTTGGTGTGGAAAGTTTAACAAGTTTCAAAATTCATGACTACTACATTATGCGTGTTGAAAGTTTGTGGTAATTTTGCAAGCTGAATGGTGGAGATTTAACAGTCTTGCACTACAGTAATTTTACAATATTGTTTATTGAGATATCATCAGACATTCATCTATTAACTATATAACACAAGTGGAAGAGATCTGAGCTGTGACTGAAATAATGATTTAGCTTTTTTTTTCAGGTAAAAGTGCCTCCTAGTTTTTCCCAAACCTAATGTGACCCCACTCCTGTGACATTCCATACTGGACCTGTGAGAGTCGCCTCAACATAAAAGTGACTTTGTTATCAGATTGAAAACCATTCATCATAATGTTCATGTCCAACTGTGTGATGTATAATGTCAAATGTCCATTCAGTGCTATACTCTGTGTGTCTCAGAAGATATTGGGTAATTTGTGTGTGGTTGTAAATATTGACAGTTGATTTTTCTTGAGCTTCTGAAGAAAAATATATTTTTGGATGTCTGTGGTATCATTTAAGGTTGTTTAGGTGTATTTTGTTTTTGTGATAAAGTTTTGATTTGGTTGATAGAATGTTAAGAATACTGCATAAATATACTTGATATTATTTAGATGTTTCATTGTAGTTTCTAGGAATCTAAATATTGAAACATGCCATATGATTCTCCGGGGTAGAGTGTCACTGATGAGATGACATATAGACTTGATATGTTAACATTGAAGAATGAAATGAGGCACAAGAGATGCAATTTACAAGCAGCAGTTCTGGTTGTGTCAGACATAATACCTTTAGTGTATCTTGACTTGTATTGTTATGTCTAGTCATTTGATTGTTATCAAAAACTAAAAGTTGTAGCCATTACTTTGTTTTTTCAATTATATTTTTATCTTCAACTGCTAAGCCATTGGTTAATAATAACAATTATTCAGAATGGTGAAGAAGAAAAAGACCTATTTCATTCTTAATACATCGGTTTATCATTGTGTATCATACAGAGATTCTTCCTTGTCGTATTTAGTACCAGTATCTTGTGTTAAACATGTTACATTTATCAGTTTTAATGTTTTAGCCTCTCTTATAAAGGAATAAGAACAAAAGGGCCTCTGTGAATCCTTATGTTTTAAGTCTGCTTCAATTCTGTGTTAGAAAAAGTTCTAGCGTTTTAGAAAAAGAATTCAATGAATGTTCCCAATTCAACTAGGCAATTCCTATGATTAGATGTGGCATTCATGGGTTTCTCAATAGTACTACGTAGTAATAGTATAGTGCTTAGTTTGTAGCCTTTTTGTATATTGGATCAGAATTAGTAGCTGCATTATTGAAGCTTGGCTTTTCATTTAATTGGTATTTAATAATTAGGAAAATAGATCATAGCCGTGTGCACATTAAATTCTTTCTAAAATGTTCCTGAAGATAATAGTTTGTAGGTGATGGTATAGAGAAAATCTTTAGAATATAACAGTGGAATAATTTCATGCTTATTATCATATGTTTATTTCTTTTTATTTCCTTTTTCCATTTGCAAGTATTTTGTTAATTGATTGTTCTGTACATTTGGCTAAAGATGATGTATGGAATTCTTCTTCTTAGAAAAAGAAATAAATAGAGTTATACCATTGTTTAATATGAAATAAAAACTTCTTGATTCAATATTTGGTTCATTTACAATGTTTTGCATTTGTTGATATCGTGGTTTTAACGTGCATGTCGTGTAGCTGTCAGAAGTGCAGTGCATCATATTTACTTCACCAGAATGGAGTTGCGGTAAGTAATCCATGAACATTCACGGGTAGTTGAAACTATAAATAATAAGAGGTTATGGAGATTATTATTACATTATAAGAAAATAAAAACAAAGGCAGTATGATAATATGTTTGTAAACAGCAAAAAAGAAATTGCTTTCTAAAATCACAGAACTACATTTTTAGGGGCGGATCCAGAGATATTTTCTGACAGTTTTCCAAATTATCTTTGCTGATCCATCCTCCTTTTCTGGCCGTCTTCTGACAGAAGAAATTAGATACCCGTCAATGTAAAGTTGAAAATCTGGAAGACCAAGAAGACGGCCTCAATCCGCCCCTGATTATGGGGTCCAGAATTGTGTGAAAAGAACATTTACATATCTCGAGAAGTATGAAATGGACTCTTCTTGAAATTTCCGAAAAAGTCCGTAGGGTGCTGCCACCTTTTGGTTCTATTTATCACTAAAAGTACAAATTTTCTTCAATAGATGACGCCACAGTATAGCCTAAATATTTAATTTGGCTTATTTCCTCAGGCTTTCATCAATTATAAAAAAGGTACAGTTGACTTTATGTCTCACGATACATTTATTTTGTTGAATATCATTATTACTACGACAATATTGTTTCGCACATTTCGAAAATAAACCTTAAATACCAATGACTTCCTTTTTACCTTACAAGAGAGCATGCGCGTACCTCTCAAACATCAAAATGGCGCTCAAAGTAAAGCTCTGTCGAGAGAGAAACACATATCATTGATAATTGAATGCTCTCTTGAACTGATCGGTAGATTGATTGTTCAGTTTATACCAAATCAAGTACTGGAAGTCACCTAAGATCCAGGATCGGTTACCAGATAGCAGGGTAAGTAATAAAATGATATGTAACAGGCACTCCTTTATTGTAGCCCTGTAATTTGGACATTGAGAAACAAGTAAACAAACAACTCCTACTTCATCGCATTGACTATCCAGTAAAAATTTTCTCCACTTTATCAGAATATCGCTCAGATGTTCAAGTTGACTGTTGATTATGATCATTGTCAAATGGCACACGGCCTGTTTAGTGCTAATGCCATTGCATAAGTGATCATCTCCAAGAAACAAAGGGGTCACTTTCGCGATGTAAGAAGAGGAAAGGGGTAAAACCGTCCAAGTGGCCGTGAAGGTGTTTTTGTCTAAAAATTATATTCATGCTGTTCTTCTATTGAAAGTAATAAATAGCACATGTTGCTATTTCTCCCTTCTCAGGATTTATTGGATTATTTCTTTAAAGTTTATTTTTCATTCTTAATAAAGAAAAAAAAAATGAAAAGAAAAATGCACAATATCTTGTAAGTTTTTTATATGTTGGACACATTTTGTGAAGGATTGGGAAGGAAATGTTTAAATTGCTGACAGGGTTGCAATCCTCTGATGATTTCATTCCAGATACTTCTCACATTAAAATGCTTTTGGTCTTAAAATGAACAAATTTAATAAGGTTTGGATTTTTAAGGCAGTGTCAAGGTATTCCCTGTAATGGCAATTAATCTCCATCTTATAAAAGTTATGATACAATAATAACAAAAACATGCCGTTGCATTTTCAGATACTCAAGTTTTAAAAGATGGCCACTAGATACCCACTGAAGACATACACACGCAAGAACAAGAAAGAATCCTATGCAAGTAAAGCATTTGATGACCTCTTCAATAGTGCCAAAAACAAGCCAGTAACAGAGAGAGCAGGGAACACGGGCAGATGGAGCACTCAGACCTATGCCCCAAGTCGCAGCACTGTAGATGCCAAACGAAGACGGCTCAATAGTGATGAAGATCCATACAGCTTTGATGAAGGGGACAAGAGTCCCAACAAACTTAAAAATGCTAATGTCCAAACAACTCCTAAGAAAGTCACCAGATCCTCTTCTCAAAATAATGAATCATCTGTCACTCCACCCAAAGTGTTTTATGGAGAGCAAAAAAATGACTTCAAATCCACCAAATCCTACGCAGAGGAGAAGAAAATCAGCAAAATTGTCTCAAAAACTGACAAATCCAGCAGCTTGTCCTTGAGAGCTGAGGGAACATCCAGGTCTGTCAGGACCAATAAAAGTACAAAAAGTACTGATTCCAAAAAGCAAATGTCTATAGACTCTTTCACAAGAAGAACAAGCACTAGTCCAAGTGGAAATACGGACCATCAGTATGCCATGGAAGTGTCCCCTCCAACTGCCAACTCCGACGAAGGGAACGTGTTAGATACATGCAGCGAGGGCAGCGCAGACTCAGAAATAGTATTCAATTTCAAGACCAGTAGCAATGACAGATCAGATCATAACTATTCTGCAGCAAAGGAGAAAAGCAAGGATGACAAGACTGTGAACTCTCAGCACAGACCCGAGAGGAGATCTCCTAAGAAGTCCACTGCAAAGTCTACCACGACATCAACAACATACAGGAGTAGTCATGATAAAGAAGAGGCTGACAGCAGCTCTAAGACATGGTGGTTAGAGTCTTCTCCTACAAGATCCAACTGTGAAGAAAGTTCTCCAGTCAGATTAATCTCTTCCTCTCCTCTGTATTCTCAGAACAGTAAAACAAGGACTACAACAACAGACTATGATCTCCAGACTGAGGAGGGTACCAGTAATGCTCATGTATCAAAACATAAACAAACATATACTGTTAAGAATGGGAGTAAGTCTTCTATAAGTAAAACGGAAGATGTTAAAAATGACCATAAAAAATCAACTGACAGTGATAACAAAGTCGAAGATGACAGCAAGGTTAAAGTTCAAACTATTCAGAGACAAGATTCCACTAAAGTTAAAGTTCTAGAGCAGGACGAGTGGTTGAAATTAGTAGGCGGAAAAAGTTCATACAGTAAAAGTAACAAAGGCAGCAATAAAATTAGTAGTAGTAGTAGTACTAGTAGTAGTGTTACTAAGAAAGAAGTCAAAACTAAAGAAAAGGAGAAACCCAAGGAAGTAGAGGAATTCACCCTCAGTGATAGTGATGACAATGAAAATGGCCAAGTAAATGGAGAAATTGCTATGAGGCAGAGACAAGAGCTAGATCCAGAAAAGAAAAAACTTATAGAAATGAGAAATCAGAAACTGCAGCAGATGGACAGAATAAAAGAGCCTAAATTTGGACCTGCCACCAAAAGATTGCTTAGCAGTCCAAAGAAGGTATGTCTTTATGACATGTGAGGGGGGGGGGGGGACGGGGGCTCACACTGAATGCAGTAAGATTAATGGAGTAATGCACCTCCTCCTGGCTTTGAGTAGAACACTAAAGCTCATGATTATTCAAGTATGTTGGAAACAAGGTGTGTGTTAGTCTGGTTACATTCAGTGAGATTCCCTACAGAGTAAGTTATCACTACCTAGTGTGACAATGATAGCTAGTAAGATGGTTTCTTTGTGAACAAACTCTATGCAAACTTCATAATGATGCTTCTACACAAAGAATATTTGTAGAAAGTTTTATCACACCATCAATCATTTTGTTTCTGTAGAAATCATAAAGAGGATTGAAAACTGAGGAAGTTATTGGCAGTCTTTGTTCTTGTAATATTGCAGGTCTCTCCAAACTTGCCTGGCACTGGGAAAGCTGTGTATAATCCCAGGCCCTGGGCAATGACAAAAGCTGCTAGTGTTGGAGTAGGTATCTTTAGGACAGTTTTTGTCAATTTTATAAGTATGTTATATACACTGTGAATTTGAGAAACTGTACTTCTTGGCATAATACAAGTGGAAGATGTCTGTTGTTGTGACACATCCAACCCCCCCTTGTTTATTTATTTTACTAATTTTTTATTGAGTGATTGGTTTAAAATTGGTTTAAATCCATATTTTCAATTCACAAACCAGTGTTAATACCACACTTTATCAAGCTCTATACCTCTCCATGTTTCCAGGACATAGGTTCTAGTCAGGAGTCTCAGAGTTCAAGGGGAGCCTCCTCCTCCGCTGCCTTCACCCCAGACTTTGATGAAGATTTGAAGCCTCCCCCCAAGCTACACAGGACCACCTCCCTGCCCAAGAAGTTGTCAGAACCACAAGCTGTGACCTCTCTCAAGGTGCAGAGAGAATACAAACAGGTTGGAGACTGTCTGTCTGTCTGTCACCTTGGGCATAACTTAATGAGGACCTCTATCACAGAAGTTATATTATTAGATTTACTGCTCCATTTTGCATTTCTTCCATGATGAGATAAATCTTACTTCATGGCAGTGATTTCAGAAAGAGGCTTTAACGGCATTTGAAATGTTATGATATTGTTATATGTGATATCTATTTCTTAGCACAGTTGTTAGTTTTCAGTGCAAGAAAGAAGTAAGAATTATCTTGTTTCCTGCTGTACTTTCAGCTGTTCACAGTGGTACGCAATGTTAAAGAGGCCCATGAGTGCCAGGAGCATGGAGAAACTCAGGAGTTCTTTGATGACATCGAGTACCTCCTGGATGGACTCAGAGATGTGCAGAGCCCCAGTACACGGTGTCTAAGGTACCTTGGGTGTAGGATAGATATTGTACTGAAAAATATAAAGTACTGGATAGGATAGTAATATATAGTAGGGGAAAAGCTGGGCTCTTTTCACATTGCACAATACAGTGATTATTACAGCACCAGTTTCAGATATTGACAGCTTCATAGCTATAACTTAAGAGAGTCAGCTAAATAAAGCCCCCATAATCCACACTGCCAGTTGGAACACTGTTCCGTGTTATGTGAAAAGAGCCATAGATCCCTTGCTGTGGCAGCATACATTGTGATGCCTATAGTACAGTACTGTGGTGTTAGTTTTATTACAATCAGTACATTCTGGTGGGGGAAATCCTCTTTTGTCTTGATTGCAGTGGTAGACAGGTGCCCTTAAATGTTATAAGGACACATTTCCATCACAAAATGTCAATAACTGATGCTACACTGGAGGGAAAAACAGTTTCAATTGTATTATTATTACGTTTTTGTATAAGATATAGAGACAAGTTTTCTACTGTTATAGTCCATTAACTTTATGACATTCTTAATAATATGGTAAATTTGTCATCCTATCTGTAATGTTTTGTTTTCTCTTTCAGTTGTATGGGGCTAGCCACCAAGAGTGCAATGGCAGCTTTCAGGATGCATCTCCGTGCACACGGCGTTGTCACAAGGATATTCACAGCTCTTCATGATGCTTGCTCACATCCTGTAAGAACAACATTGATATTACACTTCATTTGTTGTACTGTGTGGTGGATAAAAAGAACAGTTTGAAATCTGTGTATAATGAGCTTTACAGAGCTGTTTACAAAGTTTCTGTTTGTTGTCTGATATAACAAAATCATTTCAATTGTTCTGGAAAACATCTTTTCATTTATTTATTTATTTTATTTATTTTTTTTTAGGGGGGAATGTTTGGTTATAATTCATCTTGCATTTCTGATGCACTGGCAAAATCTTGGCTTTTAGAAAAAAAAAGATTGACCTATTGATTCCTCTCTTGCAGAGTTTGGCCCTGGCCACAGCCACCGTGATGCACATGTTGAGTCGCGACAGGTTAAATATGGACCTGGACAAGGAGTCGCTAGAACTGATGGTGAAACTGCTCAGCGTTGACGCCCAGTACACCTCAGAGAATGTCAGCGCAGACAGGGAGTACCAGAAAACACGGGAGAAGGTTACAGAGCTGCTGACACAGATCAAGAAAGAGGGAGGGGCAAAGCATCTGGATTTGACTGACATTTCTGTAAGTTTGATTATGCCTGGGATTCGGTTTATTTTATACTGAGGTGAAAGTTATTTACTAGTATCTTTATATACAACTCTACACTTTTTATCCCAACCACTAAAGCATTCCTGGACATATAACACTCTGAGATTGGGTGCTCTTATCCATTCATTCACTCACTCATTATTTTATTCCTTCATTCATATAATGTTGATCTTGTTTTTATGTAAAGAAATACCAGTACTATGCTCCTTTCTTGTAACTACATTGTAGGAGCAATGTTGCTGTATTGGTTCAAATGGTGATTATTCTTGAATTAAAATACAGGTCAGATCAAAACTGGGCATGATCTACTATTCTTTTTTTTTTGGCAGTTTTTCAAAAGTATACTATCAGGACAATCCAGCCCTGGAAAAATCCCCACCCCACCCCCTCCTGTAATGAATATCACAATGAAAATCAACAAAGTAATATTAAGAAAAATTATGCCTGCCTTTAATAAAAATGTATCTTCAGGTAGAGGTGGGGTAAACATCATCTCACTCATCTAGGTATTCCTTTGATGAATTGACTCTTACTTTATAGTGTTGTACCCCCCTCCCTTTAATCCCTTAATCACGTTGCCTTCCTTTAATCAAGGTGCATCCACATATTGGAGATGGGGTAAACAAATCACACTCATCTTTTAATCTTAGGCCTGTTTAAGTGCATAAGTGAGCTTCCTGAATCTTATAATTAGTAGCCAATCCTTGTGTTTTAAATTTCATTTTCTGTTTCCTTTCTTTCTTATATTCAGTAAAATAGTCAAGGAATGTATAAATATATATAAGATGTATTTTTCAACAGCGGTGTATTTTTTTGCTGGGGGGGGGGGTCAGGGGTAGTTGGTACTTGTCTAGAATCTTTTTCATTTTATGTGATATTGACCCTGTACATAACAGTAGAAGTCTGGGGTTGAACCGTCACAGTCACTTTGTATACTGCTGTATTATTTTGTCAGTCTAAAAGTTTGAACCGATTTAAGTTATCTAAACTTGTGTTTTCTACCTAGTCGAAGACTAGATGACAGGGAGAAGTACCACATAATGACATTATTAAGATTATTGTCTGTCTATACATAGATTTAAAAGCACCCAAAAAGAATTATCCTCGTATTTGTAAGATAGTCACTAAGGAAGAATGAGTCTTGAATTTAAGGGTGCATTCCCAGAGATTAAGATTTAGATCGACCTAACTCCCTGGGGGTTCATGCTAAATTGCAGTCAGCCGAGCGCGCACCATAGTTAATTACCCCCTTACAGCTTTTAGTAGGCAGGACAGACGCTTAAGCTGGCTAAGCTGACAGTAATCTAGTGAGACTCCCCACAGGGATAGATCGATCTAAAATCTATGGAAATAGGGTCTAAGAAGACTTCCCACATTTTTCAAGCTACTTAAGATATTTGTACACATAATAAGAGTAACCATTACCAGTGTCTCCTCAGAGTATTTCTCTGTATTCCAGACTGGCAAGTTGGCCATGGAATCCATGCTGAGTCTGACCTCAAGGAAAGCTGGAGAGTGGTTTAAGGAGGAACTCAGAGCCCTGGGAGGACTGGACTACTTTGTGCAATCAGGTAGGACTATAGTGAGACTGACTCTGGAAATAACTTCATGAATGGTCTAAGTGAAGGCAGAGGTATACAACAGTCACTGTTTAGTCCTGGTGAGGGTGTACCTGGTGTCTTACCCTCTCTGCCAACTCTTATCTCTGCTGTCTCCATAGCTGACCATGTATAGAGCCAGTGTGTTTTTGGTATTATAACTATAATAATTATAATAATAGTTGTTGTTGATTATTAGTATTATTTTTATTATTTATTACTATTATTATTATTATTATTATTATTATTATTATTATTATTATTATTATGTCAAGGCTTAACAGGTAGACTTAAGTATGTGAGCTGGTACCACCAAAGGGCTACAATGGAGCTACTCTTTATGAAAACTGGTGTGAACAAGAAACTGAAACCAAAGAAGTGTCATTTGATGTGTCTGTGTGTTGGTCACTGTTATTTCATCTTCCAGGCAATAGATACTGACACCTCACTGAGAATATTACTTTAGAAAGGCATAAACACTAGTCTCACCATGTTGTAAACACAGAAGCCTCTCATTTAACTATGAACATGATACATCTTCCTGACCCGGTTACCAGGACACATATTGTTTTCTCTTGTTGGCAGCTGATGAAGCTTTGCTAAGATAGGATATTAAAGGGTTTCAAGGGGAAATGAATCATAAATTGTCTTCAAAAACAATGTTGTGTCAAGCCCCACAGTATCATGTTCTTATTTCAGTTGCTGACTGTGTGGATTATTTCATCATGGAGGATGAAGAATTATCAGAGTCCCATGTTGACAAACTTAGGACAATAGACCGCTGTCTGAGGGTCTTAGAAAATGTAAGTTGGAAAAGGACTTCTAATATTTAAGAGAAGTAATAGACCCCTATTTCATTGAACCTAGAAGGGCTTTTGTGAGATTACTATCCATCCAGCCCAAGCTGTACTCACAGTTCAGGGGGTTCTTGGTTTATGATAATGTTCTGTTTCTGCAGGGTGTCCTACAGTGAATTCTGTGTAAGTTTGTTTCCAGCACCAATGTCGCCTGTTAATACAGTAGTAAGGCCATAATTAAGGGCATAAAGATACATTTCTTAAGCATAAAAACATCACTAAATGCTTATCTAAGATGGCCATATAGTTCCCTCTGAATTGTATATCCAGTGGAAAGAACAGAAATGTAAACAATAGTTATTTATAGAAATGTAACCACAAAGGTTTGCATAAAAAGATTCCTAGGACACTTGTAGGTGATATACCTGCATTGATCAGAACATTCTTGAAGATGAGTATGTTATTGGCTTTGTGCTCGACTCCTGTATGTCTGTATGAGAACTGGCATTGAGAAAATAACAGGAAAGGTAAGAAAAATTGTATTGTTAACATATGGGAACAGTGAAGAGCATTTTTTGTGTTTTGTTTATTTCAGGTGACTTTCATGAACACTGAAAATCAGACATATCTAATTGGCTGCAAGAATTCTACCTTAATTACAGCTCTCTGCAGGTTAGTGAAGCTAATTATGTTATTTGTAGATTGTGTCACTGAAACTAATCACTATCTTTGGCAGAGATGAATTCCTCTGGTGTTGGAAAATGATTACACTTACAGTGTCGCCTATTTTGTCAGCCTTCACATTGCTATATGGATGGAAGTATGGGATGAGAATCATTTGTAATGATAATAATTTTACCAGTATAAATTGCCTTATACATGTTTCATTGTAATGAAAAAGAAGATATATTGACATCCTGTTTAGTCATTGATTTATCTGAGACATAATGGATTAAGTAATCACAATCTTGACATGGACAGAATAGATTTTGTCTCTGAAACTGAACAGTAACTGTATGGTATATATGTCAGGAATAGAAGTATAGGCTAAGGTTAATTTTGGTGTCTTCCAGGGGTTTAAAGGTGTGTGAAGGAGCCATGAGTCAGTACACCCTGAGTGACACAGATAGTAAGACAGTGGACAAGAACAGCACAGGATACATTATCTTCCATACCCTGCTCTCAATACTCAGGGTGCTTCTGAATATAACACATGATAATGGTAAGTAGGGATACTCAGGGTGCTCCTGAATATAACACATGATAATGGTAAGTACTAGGGATACTCAGGGTGCTCCCTAATATAACACATGATAATGGTAAGTATTGATACTCAGGGTGCTTCTCAGTATAACACATGATAATGGTAAGTAGGTATGAGAGAAATACACCAATTAATGTATGTGATTTGAAAAATTGTTTCAATTTAACCAATAAGCTGATACAAGAAATCAATACTGGTTTCAATTTAATTCACTTCATAATTTACTATATTTAC